AGAAAATGTGATTTTATATCCAGAAAAACTGACCCTCAAAAATATAAAAGACATAGACAGTGATTTGCATGTAAGAATTCAGAGAATGTCATTCCCATGGCCCTTCCTAAGGAATCTACTAAAGAATTTGTTTCAGCGAGCCCTTCCTAAGGTTCCACTAGAGAATGACTTTGGACAACCAAAAAGAGTAGAGAGGCATCCACACAGGACTAGTGTGGAGTATTAAGTAGTTATTAAATGAAGGCTGAAAGGGAACACTCCTACTGGGTAATGGGTGTATGAGTTGACAGTGCAGACTTAGCATAAATATAATAAACAAAATGTAGAGGAAGGGGTGCACATTTACAAAACCAAACCAGTGCCAAACCAAAACAACAATAAAACAATTAGACATCTCTTTCAGTAATCATAGTTGGTAGTGATAGTATTCATTATTGTTATTCTGAGACTGATGTCTTAAAAGCCCCTTTTCTCTCTCTGTCTCTGTCTGTCACGTATGACAGCTACCACAGTCCTCAACTCTAGAACCACCTCCGGATCCCTTTCTTCCTTCTCCTAATCTTCCCATTCTCTTCATTTCTTTTCCGCTGTTAACTTTTAGTCTCTTTCAACCTGAATCAATCGATCCATTTTCAGTTTTTCTTCACAATCATTACTCCAGCAAGCAAAAAACTAGAATCTAATCTTTCAGATACAAAATTCTCCTTACCAGGTAGAAGAGAGGAAAAAGCTATGAATATATCATTTATTACTACTGTGTCACATCCCCTAAGAAACTGTGTTATTCAATGTTGATGTCTAATTTTAATATTAGATTTCTTAGAGTTCCATAATTCTGCCCTTTTTTCTTTACACTCATCTTCCGTAGTTAAATTTGTTGAAAATAATTGCTTACTTGTCTGTATACTTTATTCCATCTTTATAGGTGCTGCCTGTACAGTCCTTTTTTTAGTTATGTGTCTAGGAAACATTCCTTAGATAGACTAACTTCCTAGTTCTTGATAGCAAAACATTAAAAGGCTTACTTAGCAAAGAACTGGCATAATGACATATTATTAGGTCATGAGTACTCTTTGGTCCAGGAATTTATGTATAAAAATATATTTTAGAATATCTGTTCTAGATCATGTCTGATATCTAATATTCTTAATCTACTAGTGTTGTAGCTTTCCTGTGGAGATTGGATTTTGCATTTGCATAGGCTGAAAGGAGAGGGAGGTATATATGTGGAAAAGTAGAGAAATACTGGTTAAGAGAGACAAGGACAATTCTCTTGACTTTACCTGGTGCCACGTTCCATGTTTACTTGTATGCACTTTCCATGTTTACTTGTATGCACTCGTAAAATGGTTGGATCCTGGATTTCTTTGTGTGCCTTTGGAAGTTTTGTCAGATGGGCTGAGGTGGAGGATAGAGTAAGGCATCTGGATTCACTATCATGGATTTTCTTCGAGAGTCCTCTGGTAGAACAAGTGGCTTTTCCTCAAGTAGGAAACAGCAAGGCTCTGGGCTTTTCTAAAGTTCGATAAATTTTGTGCACATGAACTTACTCTGCTTGTTACTCTGCTGCTACCAAGAGATCAGGCCTTGCCCTTCGAAAAAGTAGCAAAGAGGGTCGTCAATGAAAGCAAAGTTCAAAAGCAGAATGATAGTGAATAGACAGAAGCAGCCAGCCTTCCATATCACTGAAAAGATGAAATGAGATGTTCGTAAAGGGAGTCAGAGTGCTCTGCAAATGTTGTTATTGTTACAAGTAATAACAACTTGATAGAAATATAGATGCCTTGTACCTTACTTAAGTGTACAGTGGAAATGATCTCCACAGCATCCTTACTTTTCACCAATGTAATGGTATCTCCTGGTCTTGGATTTATATGTATCCCTCAAACAATTTTTTATCGTATGTCTTCATTTTTCTAATATAAATTCTCTAAAAGGACACAATTCTCAGTTAATACACTCTCCCCTAGAATAGCTGCAATTTAATCTTGACCATATTCGTCGACAGAAATCATTTAGAATGTTTGTTTTCTGTACTAACATGGTAAAAGGACAAGAAAGGAAATCAACACAAGAAGATATAAGATTAGCAAATAAAACACACGATAAAACATTCATTTCCATGAATGATTTTTTTAATTTTTACTTTTAATTTTTATTTATTTTTGGGTTGGGTCTTTGTTGCTGCGTACGGGCTTTCTCTAATTGCAGTGAGCAGGGGCCACTTTTCGTTGTGGTCCGTGGGCTTCTCATTGTGGTGGCTTCTCCTGTTGAGGAGCGTGGACTCTACGTGCGTGGCTTCAGTAGTTGCGGTACGTGGGCTCAGTAGTTGTGGCTTGCGGGCTCTAGAGCGCAGGGTCAGTAGTTTATGAGGGGAACTTTACGAGGGGAAAAATAAAAATGTTCCCACATCTCTCCGTTCAGAGGAACCCACTGATGGCATTTTGATGTATATCTTTCAAAACAGCTCTCTCCAAAGGCAAACACAGCGTTAAATTGCCACAGTAGTATTGCACATGCTGTTCGGCAGCCTTAACTTGGAGCTGCCGGATTGAAGCAGCCATGTAAGTGATGGGCTCTGGGCCTCTTTACATCTGATAACTAAATAAACAGCTCTAAGATGCACGTCCTTGAATATACGTTCATTCACACTTGATAAAGTACATCGTAGAAAAAATTTGATTATGCGTGGAATATCTAACAAAGAGTACATAGGCTTTAAATTTTGAAGCATATGGGCAGACTGTATTCCAGGAGCATAGAAATTTACATTGTGAATAACTACCATTCACTGTGTTCTCACACCCTCTCCAGCATTTGATACTGTCATTTTATATTTTTAAAAACTTAACAGTAAGACATAAAAAGCTTGATCTCATTGTTTTATCATCTATTTCTTTGATTATTTCTGAGATTCATTATTTTTTCACATTTTTTTTTGTTATCAGCATTTTTCTAGGTGCCAGTTGTCTATTAATCCTCCTTACTAAATTTTCAGTAGGTTGATTGCTTCTTATTTTTTACAGCTGATTGTATATTGAGGATATTAAGTCTTTGTTAAGTGTGTTGAAAATATTTTTCCTAGTTTATCATTGCTTTTTAAATTGGCTTAAAGTATTTGAAAAATTTTGCCATATGTAGGTTTTAAATTTTTGAGTAATTACCAGTACTTTCTGGATTTTGTTGTATACTTAAAAAGACATTCTCCACCCATATTTAAACAGAGGGTAAGAAGAGGATGAAGAAAGGAGGATACATGGACAGGCATTTTACAATTTATAAAAGTAGGAAAAGGAGCTATTCAACAAAACAATAATAAAACAAAACTTTATGAGCCTATCTGGTTATGGAGAATTGAACCAGGTAAAATATAAAGCCGTTTACCTGTTCTGTGGGGGTGTGCAGTCAATACATGGAGAAATGCTTTCACTGATTCAGCAAATATTAAATACCAGGTACTGGGCTATGTTTTGATTCAGAGGAAAAAAGATACTGATTCCAAAAATAAAGTAAAATTGCCCCTGCCCACAAAGAGCTTACGGACTGTAATAGTCATGTATGTACAAGCCTAGAATCCTCATTCCTTCTTCCTTCTCTCTTATTCTACTTCTAAACCATAAAGGAAATAATTGGTAAATGCTAGGAATCCTGCCTTCTTGAAGAAAATATTTCTTTTGATTTCAAAAAGAACATATTGTTTAAAAGACCCCAAACTTCTCTTCTGTATCTACATTCATGGCTACCTCCCTGCAAGGAGACACTTATGCCTTTGAGGCACTGACTGGGCTGTAATATCTAAACCTGTAATCATGTTTTATGCCAGGAAAATGTTTTCAAAACATCTTCAGTATTTAACCAGCCAAGATGTTTTGTGAAAAATCTTTGTGAATGCTTCCATCAGGAGATACTCACTTGTGAGTGAAGTAATGGATGAAAATATTTGAAAATATTTGGTCATTTTAACTCTGTGTGTCTGTTTTGAATGTGCATATGCTCATGTGTAACAGTAGAATTTTATATATATATAATTATGTTTTTAAGTTAACACAACTATTCTATTTAATTTTATAAGGGAGAAAGGAGAACATTAAGAATAGAAACTAAGATCTACTTTATAATGAGAGGAATAGTAATAGTCCTTTATTGTTTTAATAGGATTTTAGAAATTATTTCACCTTTATTATTCAGTCTTCACAAAAAGCCTGTAAAATAAGCATCAGTATTTTTATTTTACATAATGAAGAAATGTGGCTCAAAATGATCGGGTGATTGAAGTTCCAATGTTAGTAAACATCAAAGATGAAAGCAAAACTGCAAGTTTCATTGCTCTTTCTACCATACTACAGCTGCCCAAGGTGAAGGCCCTGTCTAACCTGTAAAGAGAGGAATTGAGAGTTAGTTCCCAATTATCTATAGGTGAATCTAATGAGACCACAGCCACTTACCACGGGTTCTGCTTGCAGAATGAATCTCCCTCTTTATCCTGCTTGCACATTGTGGTAGGAAGAACGTGCGTCGGAGTCGAATACCTGGGTTTGAATTCCAGTTCTGCCACTTATTAGCATATCGAACCTAAACTCTTTTCCTAGTATTCACGTAGGAACACTGGCAGTGATGGTACATAGAGTGAAGATTTGTTGTGATATCTTGGGCACATAGTAGGTGCTCAAGAATCACCCAGAAAACCATGACCTGATCTCTCCTAGGATGGTGTCAAGAGATACAAAATGATTTGGGGAATAAAGGGTTATAGGGAATGGAACGATAGACACAAAGGCAAGAGACAAGAGTCAGTTTTGAGCCCTTTGTTCAGCCATATGCGAAGAATTATTTTTTTCACCGTGGTTACATTCATCCTCATGTTCACTTATGTCCCAGGAGGCATTATATTAAGGAGATAGAAATGGGGAGCCTTGAAAACGGAAATGCAGGAATGGCTGGACCTTTTTATAGTCCTCAAAATGGATTTTCCTAATCCTTTTCTTTCCCACCTTTTATAGCTGATGGTGTCTGTGTCTTCAGATGCTCACTCAACAGAGACACTGAATGTTGCTGTGTGGGGAAGGAGTCCATCTTGATTTTCCTGGGCTACCACAGTGCTTTGCTGAAGTTTGAGTCTCATGCTGGTAAGTTTTGTGTCTTTTCCAAGCCCCTGGCTTTTCCAAAGGCAGATCTCCTGGTTGGTTGACTTTCGGCACCGTGTTTCCTGATGCGAGTTGCCATCCATTGATAGAATGATTTAGAACTGGTTCTGGTGCTTAACTTGATGTGGTGGCTAGAGAACAGTCAGCCTTCCCTAGACCGTGAGAACTTTTGTGTTCTCATACCCCGCCCCCCAACCCTGCTTTGGTTCTCCTTCATCCAAAGCTGCAGGAAAGGACACCAAGGATTGTCCAGATCTTCACCACTGTTGTTGATTCTCCTTGGAGGTGAAGTTTGCCGAAATGTGATTTTCAGTTTGAGCGTCAATGATTTCATCCTGTTTTTGTCTTTGAATCACTTGCTGAGCATTTTTAGACTCTGGACAACAAATGTCTAGCAATAGGGAGGTAAATTAAAGTATAACTAGAAGTATTTTAAGAAAAGACTCAAAGGCACTCTGAAAGATTTCTGGCTGCTGGTGGGTGGGGCTGGGTCATGAGGCTGCTGGCTGTAGGATCTGGGGGGTCCCAAAGCTGGTGTCGACCTGCTGGTGGGTGAGGCTGAGGCCCAGGGGTCCCCAGAGCTAGTGCTGGCTCGTTGCTGGGGGGAACCAGGTGACTGGCTGCAGTGCCCTGTGAGTTTGGAGGCTAGTGCTGGCCTGCTGGTGGGCAGGCTAAATCCTGGTATGGCAGGCTGCAGGGCTTCAGTGGTCCTGGGGCTGGTGTCTGCCTGCTGCTAGGTGGGGCTGGGGCCCAGGGGAACCCAGGACTGGTATCCACCCAATGGTGGGTAAGACCAGGTCCTGGGCCTACTGCTGGCTCATGCCGGCTCACTGGTAGACAGAGCTGGGTCCCAGTGTCTCTGGCTGTAGGGCCCTGGGGGGTCCCAGGGCTGGTGCTAGCGCACTGGTATGTGGAGCCAGCCCTGGGTCCTGGCCTCTCTGATGGACAGGGGCAGTTGTGGGCTCAGGGGGTCTTAAGGCCATGGGCCTGCTGGCGGGTGAGCCGTGTTCACCTGGCTAGTTGCTTGGCCTGAGGCATCCCAGTACTGAGGCTGAAAGGCTGGTAGGCAGGGCCACGTCCCAGCACTCATAAGCTAGAGGGAGGATTCCAAAATGGCGCTTACCAGCACCAGTGCCCATGTGGTACAGTGAGCTCCCCAAATGGCTGCTACCAGTGTCTCTGTCCCCAGGGTGAGCTCCATTTGCCTCCTGCCTCTCTGGGAGGCTCTCCAAGATCAGTGGGTGGGTCTAAACCAGGCTCCTTTCAAATGACCGCTTCTGCCTTGGGACCCAGAGTGTGTGAGATTTTGTGTGCACCCTTGGAGAGCAGAGTCTGTTTCCCACAGCTTTTTGGAACTCCCGAAAGTAAGCCCCACTGGCCTTCAAAGCCAAATGTTCTAGGGGCTCATCTTCCTGGTGTGGGACCCCCCAGGCTGGGAAGCCCATTGTGGGGCTCAGGCCACTCCCTCCTTGGGGAGAACCTCTGCAATGTAATTATCTCCCCGTGTATGGGTCACCCACCTGGGGGCGTGGGTCTTGACTGTACGACATCTGCATCCCTCCTACCATCTTGTTGTGGTTCCTTCTTTATATCTTTAGCTGTAGAAGATCACCATTTCCATTTGGCTATGATGAATATTCTTTTACCGTATATATTTTCTCGTTCCTGTTGGATCAGTATCTAGGAGTAGAATTGCTGGGGCATAGAATAAGTGTATGCTTAGTTTTATAAGAAATAGCCAGAATTTTTTCCAAAGTAGTCGTACCGTTTTACACTCCCACCAATAATGTGTGAGAGTTCTGATTGCTCCACATCTTTGCCAGCATTTGGTCGTTCAGTCTTTCAAGTTGTTTTTTCATTCTGGTGGGTGTGTATCTGGTGGGGTGTATCTCATTGTGGTTTTAATTTACATTTTCCTGATACCTAATGATGTTAAGCAGATTTTCACATGATTATGAATTAAAATCATTTGCTTGTTACTAACTGGTTGTTTATCTATGGAATTGTTCTTTATATATCCAGGATACCAGATATGTATCACATATGTAATTAATGGGTGTTATCTTCTAGTCTATAGCTTGCTCATTTATTTCCCTAATGATATGTTGAGAAGAAGTTTTAAATTTTGATGAATGCCAGTTTATCCTTTTATTTTATATTTCCTTTCATAAGTTTTATAGCTTCAGATTTTATATTTTAGGTATACAGTCAATCTTAATCATTTTTTATTTGGTGTAAGGTATTTAGCCAAAGATTATTTTTAGACTATATGGATATCCATTTATTCTAGCCCTGTTTGTTGAAAAGACTTTTGCAAGTTAAATGATTGTATATAGACTTGGTCTATTTCAGAGCTCTCTGTTCTGTTCTCTTGATTATCTTTGTGCCAGTATCACATTGTCTGGATCACCTTTAAAGTAACACTTGAAGTCCATTTAAGTTTGTTCTCCTTTATCAAGATTGTTCTAGGTATTTTTGGTCCTTTGCATTTATATGTACATTTTATAATTAAGTTGTCAATTTCTACAAAAGTGCTTGGTCTGATTGTGATTGAGATTGATCAGTTTGGTGAGAATTGTCATTTTAACAATATTAATTGAATTTTATCTGATTTGTAAACTAACAAGTTAGGTTGCCACTATTCCATGAATGCTGACAGAAGACATTAAGACTCCTGGTGCAGAGGTAAAAGACGATTTTAGACTCTCAGGAAAAGAGCAGCAGCCAAAGTGTGAGCATATTTTCTCTGAGTTCTTTAAGCCCCAAATCCTCCAGACAGATGTGGAGGATAAGATGGGTGCCTGCACATGCAGTGGGATGCATTACAGGAGAGGAACACTGAGCTTGGGGAACTTCTGTTTAATAGCAAGCAGTAACCAGGCTTGCTCTTTGTTCCAGAGGAAGATATTACTTCATACCTCAGGGTTGCTTGCTGCATACACCACCCTGAGAAAGAGCCCAGGTGGAGAGTGGTGAAAGCCTGGCATTCATGGCCTACCCAGTAAGGCATATTTGAGTCCCATCTAGAGACCCATGGACAAATTTATTAAAATAAATAAAGAAATGCTACACATTTATTTTTTTTAAAAGAAATACTACAAATTTATTAAAGAAAAAAAATGCTACAGGGCTTCCCTAGTGGCGCAGTGGTTGAGAGTCCGCCTGCCGATGCGGGGAGCATGGGTTCGTGCCCTGGTCCGGGGGGGATCCCGCGTGCCGCGGAGTGGCTGGGCCCGTGAGCCATGGCCGCTGAGCCTGCGCGTCCGGAGCCTGTGCTCAGCGGCGGGAGAGGCCACAGCAGTGAGACGCCTGCGTACAGAAAAAAAAAAAAAAAAGAAAGAAAAAAAATAGAATTTCTTCTACAGCTAAGAAAAATAATATCAGTAGTACAGGATGTTCCACAGGCAACCCTCTTAACAGTTCAGTAGAGATAGGCCCCTAGTCTTGGTAAAATGTAGACCTAAGTTATAGATAAGTAGGTGCTTTAGTCATTTAAGATATCTCCAAAACTGTAGACAGACAATACCAAATGAGGATGAATACCAACCTCTCAGTACTTTTCATTTGTTAGAGGGGACTAGACATCCAATAGACAGAAATAATTCAAATAGGCTTGAGACAGAAATAAAGCTAGATATCCAGATAGCAATGAACAACAAATAATTTAGAAGCAGACTCAGTGAGTACAAATGACTACCTTAGCGCAGTTAGACTCGCCCTAGTAGCCAAGAAAGATAGGCCTGAACCCAAGGAGCTTGTAGGGTGCATTTCTCAGGCAAGCTCTGATAGATAGGTCTGTGTGAGCATCTTAGTAGGACCTCCATGTTAAAATTCAAACAAGAACAACTTAATAAACATTTTTGGAGTACTGAGGGGGAGTTTTATCTTTAATAATAAAATAAATATGAGGAAGTCCTGCTTTCACAAGAACTGGCTCCCAGATACAGAGAGAAGGCTGTATTTGTAGGTCAGATACGACAGCCTGCAATTCCTTGTGTGTGTGTGACTTTTTAATTTTATTTGTAATTGTGGTAAAATATGCATAATTTTAAATGTACCATCTTAACGCATTTTAAGAGTACAATTCAGTGGCATGAAGTACAATCACATTGTCGTACAACTCTCACCATCCATCTCCAAACTCTTTTCATCTTGCAAAACTGAAACTCTTCACCCATTAAATAACAACTCCCCATTCCCTGCCTCCCCACCAGCCCTGGCAACCACCATTCTACTTTCTGTTTCTGTGACTTTGACCACTCTAGGGTACCTTATAGAAACGAAATTCTATAGTACCTGTACTCTTGTGACTGACTTATTTCACTTTGCGTAATGTCCTCATGTTTTATCCATGTTATCACATGTGTCAGAATTTCTTTCCTTTTTAAGGCTGAAAAATGTTTCATTCTATGCATATAGCACACCCTGTCTATCCATTCATCCATCAATGGACACTTGGGTTGCTTCCACTTTTTGGCCCCCATGAACAATACTGCTGTGGACATGGGTATGAGACTTTTTTGATGGGTGAAATCTATATTGGTTTTGGCTCTGTAGAGGTGCCAAGGAATGAAGAGGATATAATTTTCACATGAAAGTGTGCGTCATTAATTTCTTCACTGCATCATTAATTTCTGCACAACAGCATTAACTTATCGTTACACAATTAAGAATTTGTTTTTCTCTGATTAACTTGAGGTTTATCTTTCTCTGCCAAATTTTTTCTTCAAAGTGCAGATTTTACTGTTATTCCTGGTAATAACATGTATAAAACACAAAGCATTTAAAAATATCTGTTGTCTCAGTTCAGTCCAGCAAATATTTATTGATCACCATCCATATCCCAGGTGGGCTGCTCTGGATGAAAAACACAGCCTCTGACTCTGAGAGATCTTAAGGTTGGAGGAGCAAGCAATATGAGAAGTTCTGAACGAGTCTCTTAAGTGCTGTGGGGACATTAGTCAGGGCACCTACCTCAGCCT